AACCGTTTCCTGCCTCCAGTTTGGCTCCAGCTGGATGACAACTCTTTAAAAAAACAAGGGGGCCAAAGGGCCACGCTGCTGGCCCCGGTGTGAGGCCATCTTCTGGCAACGGCCCTCTTGTTTCTCTCTTATCACCATTCATGGCATGCCTTTCAACTTGGAAGTAGTGGTTCAGCAGCTTGGTTCAGAGGAACAAGCAATGAGGGAAACTTATTGAAGAGGTTGCCGATTATTTACAGAACCACTCTTGGTTAAAACCAGACAGATGGACCCAGAGGAGTCGTTGTTATCTTAGAGGAGCAGGGTGTTGTTTACAGGGTGAATCTGGCACACGCTTTTCTTAAGAGCTCTCCAAAAGGCTCCTATCACTTCATTTTAAAGGATGAAGAAGTGCTCATCCATTCGTCCTGCCAGCAAGCACCCTCAACCCTCCTCTTCACCCTGCCCCCATCCCCGCCCCCCTCGGCCCCTGACCACTGCCCTACTCACCCCTGCGCTGAGGGACAATGGCTCACTTTGAAAGAAAAGCAGGAAGAAAGAGGAGCCCGGTGTCACTGAATTGCCTGTTTGCTGACGGAATCTCTAAAAGCAGCACCTCATAAATCAAAAAAAGAACATAATGGTCATTGTTTCTCCAAGAGCTACTTGTCCCTTTAAAAAAAGATCTTTTTTTTTTGCTGTGGAAAGAGGGAGCAGAGTCAAGAGGTGGAGATTTTTTATTAGTTGGGGTCCTTTTCTTGTCGATTTGGCGCTTTAGGAGTTTCCTTACCACTTTTCTTTCTCTCTTGGTGTCAGACCATCCCCTGGCTTTGTGCTCCTGCAACCCCCCCTTCCACATAACAACTAGATGTTTTTTCTTTTTCCCTCACAAAAAAAAAGCATTCCCCGAGCTTGGATCAGCATAATCTGTCACTTTGCACATTGTAACTCAGGCCTCCTCCCTATCTCCACGCTGCATTGTCACGTTGAAATCGGATTAAACGGGGAGCCATTTGCCTTCTCCGGTTAGTCGTAGACTCTTTTTGTATGTTGGCACAGAGAACGATGAAAAGCTTGCAGCCAGTATCGCCCTTGTGCATCAAGAGAAATGACAAACAGCATGCAGTATGAGTCAGGCGTGTTTGGGTTGTACTCTTTGATTTGCTGCATGAACACGTCGAGTTTGGGGTGCGGCTTTTAAAAAGCAGCTTTTTATCATCAGAAATGTGGCGCGCCTCCATAAAAGGCGTGCACAGGATCTGTTTTGATTTCAGCGGGCTATTAATAAGCTTCTGCTTTTGATTCATTCACCCCTCTGCCGTGTCAGCAATCAAGATGATGTTATCATAATTAGATCACTGGCTCTGCATTAGGATTACACAAATCTGCCATCACCATTTCCATAAAGCATTTTAATTGCTACCTAATATTACATTTGTTGTTTTTTTTTCTAAAGACGGCCTCCTTTTTATGCAGAGACTCTTGGATACTAATCTCAGCCCTGACAGAGAGCTTATGCTCCATAAATTAGCATTTGGCCAGATGAAGATGAACTAGTTTTCAGGTGTAATTCGGAAAGCAGCCAAAGCTCCAGGAACAAATGCAGCAAATTCTTTTTTTTTTTACCTTTAAGTTTGCAAATATATTGTATAGGATTACAGCAGATTTCTGTGGGATTTGTCTCCACGGTATCAGCGCCATATATCGGTGTTAAAACCTTAAAACAAAGGCTCGCTTTAGGGTGCTGCAGCATTCTTATCTGTAACAGCGTGTTCCCCCTGATAGATCAGTTCTCTCTGTTATCACTAAAATCCTTTGTTTTGTTTTTTTGTTTTTTTATTCCTCCTTCCTATTATTATTGCTGTTCCCTCTTGTTGTTCTTTATCCTCTACTGATTTTAGCTAATTCCCATCTCCTAACGAAACCACCTATCCTAAACATTTGACTGCTGTTAAAAATACTTTACTTTAAAATGAGGAATGTCTTATGGAAGCCTAGTAGTTGTCGGTATAATATGAAGACAACTAAATAATTTAAACCTAATGATTAACTTCAGCCTTTAAATAGGAGTGATGGAACTGGATTACAAAGCCTGCACTTTCCACATTTAGTCATTAGTTTCTTTTAACAATGTTTACCAAGATTTTCATGCAATATCTGCGATACTTTAAGCCGGGCATAAACTGTGCGATTTTTTTCAGTCGTTGCACGCAGCTGCAACTCACACTGTACGACGAAACCCTGAGGTTTTGTCGTACAGTGTGAGTTCAAAGCTCACAATGCTCTGATCTATCTGGAAGCCAAACCAGTAGAAGAGGAATATGAAGCTCACTAGAGTGAAATGCACTGTTTTGGCAATTTAGCAATTTTATGCTGAAAGCCCTAAAAAGAAAAGGCGTTGACGTATTTGGACAAAGACATGGCTGAGCAAACGTGGCTACTACGGTCTATCAATTTTACAGATAGAACTCCATTTCCCTCACACCCCCGCCGTGATTCTGTGTTTTCATCTGAGAAGAAGAAGAATCCTTGTTTGCGCACTGAGTAATTTGCCCACGACGGTCGACTGAAAATCAAACATGTTTAATTTTCTCCCGACCATAAGATTCCTGATCGAGAGGTGGTCACGAGAGGCTGATCGCTCCTCGTTACGCCCTGTACACTACACAAAGCACGATCAGGCTGAAAGTCGGGCCGATCGGAAAATTCTCGCACGACTGGAAAGTCGGTAACGTGACTCCGCCAGATGGATTTGCTCCGCATATCCATCTGGAAACCTTCCGTTGAAGTAATTTTGGGAAGGGGCGAAAATACTGGTTAGCTGATTGGCCTATGTTGGTGATTGACGGGCCAAATAAACCAATCAGATCAACGAAGCATATGACGTACTAACAGAGCGACGACGAAGAGGAGCCAATTGATAGATCAAACTTTTGCTGAAACCAGTCGGGAGAAGAGCAAAAACATCTTTTCCTCTGAGAAAAGCCTCCAGAGCAGTGTTTTGCTCTTCTTTCAGTGAAGAAATACTCTGTAATTCCGATAAAACTTGCTCGATAGCCACGCTAACGCTAGTTTCATCGGCTGAAGCCGCCATGTTCTTTAGACTGAACTGTCGCGCTTCTCGTTGCGTCACACCTCAACCCGCCTCAAAGCCAATGCTGATTGGACGTTCGTTTGGTGAACGGCTCCAAATTTTCTTCAACAGAGTCTCCAGACTGATCTGCGAGCGAAACCTTGAAAGCTCGCGAGATCAGGATGGTCTCATGAGGCTAGTAAGTCGGCCCGTAAGGGCAAGAAATCATACCAGATACTAGATACATACCAGGTACTTTCATGGAACCTGCTGATTTCTCAATAACTTATTCACCTTCAGTAAGTGAAGTGAAGTGAAGTACCAGTAAATTCACTTAAAGTACCTGGTTAGTTCTGGAAACTTACCTCTGTTCCTAGAAAATTCCTTTTTAGTGTCGATGTCCTAGCCTATCGCCGGAAATTATCTGGTATGATTAGGGGAAAGTAATCAAATTATCCCCAAAAAATCTGGGAAAGTAACATGTGAGTTTCCTGAATCTTTAAAAACCTGTTAAATACTCCAAAATTAGCCATTAAGTTACCCAAAAAGTACCAGGAGAGTTTAGAGCAAGACCCTGATAAGTCATGGAAAAATAGTGCAAGTCTAATTTTCAAAAACTGTAGGAACAGTTTTAAAACCATAATGTTTTGGTATACCAATAACTGAGTCTTACCTATTTGCTACCGAAGAAAGCCACACATTTAATTCAGTCCACATAAAAACAAAAAACTGATTCTTTCTGGTGAAGTTTTCAGAGATCAAAAATGCAATTTATAGGAGACTTTAGCTCTCATTATAAATCCTTAGTTGCTATTTCTGAAATCCTGTGCTCAAAGTATAAAGCAAAATCACTTTTCTTTACAGAAAAGCGTCATTCAAGAACCACTTCATTGTGCCTGCATATTTGTATAAGAGCCATTAGTTTCCTTTCATGCTCATGACAGAAAATTCCGTCCATTTTTAGCAAAGCTCTTATCATTTCCGAGCGCTCATTTCTTCTTCCTTTAAAAAAAGTTAATTTTTTTTGTGGTGGGGCACAAGTGCGTACAGCAAAATCCCCAAAAGCAGATTAGGTGGTTTATAAAATCAATCTAAGCTGATTCTAGCATCCAGAAAAATATAACAATTAAACGTAATGAAAATTACACCTTATAAAATAATCTGTTTTTCTAGCAGGTACTTGTGATATAATATTTATAATGACCTAAAGCATAATTATGAAGAGGCAGATAAAAGGAGGAAACCAGTGGCTGAAATCACTGGGACAGAAATAACTAAGTTTCCCTTCAATCCTCAACAATCAGCGTTGAGCAGATAAACTACTTAAACGCCTAAATTCTCTTTTTCCAATGCGTTAAAAACTGTTTTTGTCTACAAAATCCATCTGTTAATGAAGTAAAAGTTAACGCTAGTAATAGAACTTATGATTAGATGCATAATTTGAATAATCCTAATTCTAATTTCTGATTTTGTTGCCTTCAAACTGCTACTTTTATCAAAGAAACCTGCTGCACATATCGCCTGTTCTGATGTTTAGATTGAAGCTAAATCAGCAGAGAAAAAAGAAAGCTGTAAATCTGTATCATCTTGTCGGATTCTGATTGCTCCATCTTTACCGTTAATCCCTAAAACCTTTCATTGAAGATTCAGGTTCAAAAACTTCCGCAGCAGCTGCACTCCTGTTTGCTTGTACTGTAAATAATGGCTTTCTGTTTCTCTTTAGGAGTCACTCATATCTTACGTGTGGCTAAGCCTGTTGATGTTGGATAGCTGCCTGCACTAATAGGTTTTTTTAAACCCCATAATAAGGCTAAACAGGCTCAATGAGTCATTGATTGCAGAATGCAGGGTGCTCCATCAACTTGATTACATTATGCAAGACCTTTCCCTTTTTTTTTCTCCCTTCTCTAAACCTTTTCTTTTGTCATTTTACTTTATCTTCTCTTAGGGATCTGATGCCGAAAACCCTGGAGGGCCAGATCACCATGGAGAAAACTCCCAGCTACTTTGTGACCAGAGAGGCACCGGCGAGGATATCCGCCATGTCCAGGGACACCAAACTGATCGTGGTAGTGAGGGACCCTGTCACCAGAGCCATCTCAGACTACACGCAGACTCTGTCTAAGAAGCCCGATATTCCCTCCTTTGAGAGTCTGACCTTCAAAAACAGGACTACGGGGCTCATTGACACCTCGTGGAGCGCCATCCAGATCGGCATCTACGCCAAGCACCTGGATAACTGGCTGCAGTACTTCCCCATGGACCAGATCCTCTTTGTTAGCGGCGAGCGTCTGATCACCGACCCGGCCGGAGAGCTGGGCCGCGTGCAGGACTTCTTGGGCCTCAAGAGGATCATCACAGACAAACACTTTTACTTCAACCAGACCAAGGGATTCCCGTGTCTCAAGAAGGCAGAGGGTAGCAGCAAGCCTCACTGCCTGGGAAAAACCAAAGGGAGAACCCATCCGAACATTGATCCCGAGGTGGTGCAGAGGCTACGGGACTTCTACAGACCCTTCAACATGAAGTTCTACCAGATGACCGGACATAACTTTGGTTGGGATTAAAGCCCAAGTCGAGACAGACATCCTTTTTTTTTTTTTTTCCTAGTTTTTATTTTTTTTCTATGTAATTCATTGGTAAAAGTGGAGATATGGCTATATATATGTGTAAACTGTACAGAGATCTATTTTATAATAATTTATTTTTATTTCTAAGCAATTAATTCACTAAGCTGCCTAACCAGATTTGTACATAACATCCTTCCCATATTTTGTTTTTAACATTCCTCATCTTATTTTGGTTTTCTCTGGCTTCACACCTGTAGTCCTGTAAATTCCCGGCGCTGCACAAAACGGATGATCGGCAAAGACTGTAGTCCAAACTGTTTTAGAGAATCTGGAAACGTAGAGATGCACCAATCAGCCAGCTAGAGATTGGAATCGACCAATCAGTTCTTTGCATTTGCTCTGATTTGTGATTGACAGCTCAAATACCAGCTCCCATTATGTTGAGTTTCTAAATGCATCAATTAACTTTTGATGCAGTTTTTGTAGTTTTAAGGAGACTTGAGTGTGTAGATTAGGGACATATGTTTATATAGGGGATCATTTTATAATTCCTTTATTTTTTTTTTTGTTGGATTTAAAAACTGCTACCTCTATCAAACGACCATTTCCACCATTTTCTGCGTTATAACAATAAGAAGAAAAAAGTAGTAGATTTGGTTGAAATCAGAGTAGTAGATCTGATTTCAATCAGGAAAAGTCTGATTGGTTCATCTCTGGATAAAAGTGCCACATTACGGGTACAGATTGCTCAGAGAAGTGGAGAGCACCTTTTTATGTTCATTCTTAGTTAACGTGTTGGTATAACTTCATTTTATCGCAATGTGTCTCCGTTCATTTATACAAATTAGTTTTGTTCACTGGCATTGGCCTGAGCTGCAGAACCTGTGTCCACTTCCACCCAGTAACTGGCTGATCAATAAGGCCTAATTGATACGCATTGTGTCTCTCATGCTTAAAGCATACAGCTGCCCTTTCATTTTCAGTACTCCTGCTGCCTGCTCTAATGAGTGATCCATCCATCACACAGTAAATCCCATCTCCGACCACATAAGAGCCATGTTAACATTATGCTAATCGGGTAAAGGTAACTTGGAGATCGATCGCCCCCACCCCCCCCCCCTCGCTGCTAACTCCGGCTTAGAAGCAGCGTTGGCTCCGAGCCGAGCTCCTGCCCTATCCGCTCAGACCAAAGGTCATACTAAGTCTCAATCAAATTTCCTTGAAAGGCATTTGATTTGTTGAGGTAAGGGAAGCGGGTCAGAGGGAGTGTGGGTCTCGTTTTCACTGAGAGACTGAAAAGCCTTTGCAGGAGGCTGCAGATGCATATCTGCAAGAGATTTAGCATGTAGATGAGAAACGCCTCGCTTAGATGGCACTTGTTCAAACGGAAGTGTGCAAGGCCTGGTCTTTAAAGACAGACTAACCGGTTAAAGAAAAATAAACAGATGTTTTGAAACCAATTCACATTAAAACCCCAAACTTCATTGTATTTTTTTTTCTTTTGTTATTACACTGTCACAAGTGCAGAGCAACGAAAGTCACTCTCTGCATATAACCTATCCCCTTGGGGAGCAGTGGGCTGCCATCATGCGGCGCCCGGGGAGCAGTGTGGGGTTAAGGGTCTTTGCTCAGGGACCCAGAGCGGTAGTTTGTAGGAGTGGGGCTCGAACTCAGAACCTCTGGATTCCAAGCTCTATGCCCTAACCACTAGGCCGCCACTCACCTAAAATTCTTGGGATGGTCCCACGTCTCCGAAGTTTTGAATGCCAGGTTAAAGCGGGGATCGAATCCACACCTTTGAAGCTTTGAGGCGGTCACCTCCCGCAGTGAGCTTAACTGCAGCAAAAAATCTCTGCATTCAACCCATCCCCTTGGGGAGCAGTGGGCTGCCATTGTGCGGCACCCAGGGAGCAGTGTAGGGTTAAGGGACTTTGCTCAGAGGGCCAGAGTGGGAGTCAGGCTTAAACTCAGGATCTCAGAATTCCAAGTTCTATGCCCTAACCACTAGGGCTCCGCTCCGCAAGCTGTGACAGACTAACAAAAAGAGCTGAATTGCCAAGTTTTAATAAAGATATGCCAATATTCACTTTGTTCATCCATAGCGGGACCCGTTTGTACGGAAGAGGATTAGGGCCACTGAAAAAAAAAAAGTAAACTGATTTTTAAATTTTATTTCAGTTTAACATGGGAAAAAAGTCAGAATTCTGAGAAAAAAGTCAGAATTCTGACTTTAATATCAGAATTCTGAGAAAAAAGTCAGAATTCTGAGAAAAAAGTCAGAATTCTGAGAAAAAAGTCAGAATTCTGAGAATAAAATCAGAATTCTGACTTTTCCCCCATACTATACTGAAATAAAATTAAAAAAATCAGTTAACTTTTTTTTTTTTTTTTCCAGTGGCCCTAATCCTCTTCCGTACGTTTGCCCTCTTATGATTGCATCGTAACTTGAGCTCAATCAGACTAGATGGGTGGAGAGCATTTGGGATCTTTGGAAATCAGATATTTAGGTCTGCAGACTGTTTCAAAACTCTCTCTCATTAGGCTCCACCCATATTTCACTTAGCTTACCCACCCATGCTAAAGAAAAACATTACCACAGCATGATCCCGCCACTACCCTGTCTCAATGTGTGCATGGTCTCTCCAAGGTTCGGTGCCGTGTTATATTTCAGCCACACATAATGTTTAGCATGCAAATCAAAAAGATCAAGCATGGATAACGTTAAATGTTATTTATATATTTTTTTTTCATCTCACAATTTTTCCCTACCTTATGTTGGTCTCACACGTGAACTTGCTGTAGAATACGCTGACCCTTGTGCATCTCTTTCTGCCTTATCCACCTACATCATCTTCACTTTTCACCAACACTTCTTCAGTCTGAAGTTACCAAAAAAATCTTTTGAGTCCCCGTCACATTTAACACGATCGCTGTCTGCCTTTTTTTTCACTTTTTCATTCATTTTATTATTTTTCTTTCTACTTGAAATTTTGATATGCAAGATGGTGTGGTTATCGGTCTTTCAGCTACTACCACAGCACAGAGCGACGTCGTATTTTTGATTGTTACTCTGTGGATAGTAGCTTTTATTTTGATGCAGGATTTATTGGAAGGGTTTTATGTGTTTATATTGAGCTCAGGCTGAATGTAAACAAGCTGTGTTCAAATTGACGTTAAAGGTAACGAAGCCACATCACCACCCAGTTTATCCAATTGTTTTCTTGATTAGATAAAACATTTTGTGCCTCTCTAACCAACATTTTTAGCAAATAATTGGTTATTTACTCATTTCCCAGTTTAAACAAGTCCCCTCAAAGCAAGGCCTGGAGGCAAGGGTATTGTTCTTTATTTTTCCCTCTCTGTTTCTTTTACTCTAATGAATGATGATGCTCCAAGTGAGAACTGGCCTTCATCGACCCCTTCATTAGTGCACTGTTTGAGCATTTATTGATGACTCCTCCTATCAAACCGTCCTGCTCTGGAAGCAAAGCCAGACATTTTTTCTTAACGCTTCGAGGAGTAAAGCTACATTCTGGGGAATAAAGCGTCGCATTCATAGGTGACCTCTATTTTCATGCAGTGGTTATGGTTGAGTTTTATTCAACCTGTTTTTGAGATCTAAAACTGTTGAGAATGTTTGTTTTCTGCGTATGATATGGTTTAGACTAGCAGATCTGTATGTACAAAAAAAAGTAAAAAGACATGAAATTCAAGTATTTTGTTGTATGTACATCAAAGGAATTAATTTTTACACAATGAAAGAGCAAAATGGAACAGATGTCTCTAAATGAATCAATAATGAACATTCATAATATTTCTTTTTATAAAGAAATAAAGTATATATTTTACCAAACTTTCATGAAAATCTCTGTTTCCTTCATTTCCCTGCAAATATTCTTGTCTGCTGTGGAATATGTTAACTTTCATTTATCTAGATAAAACCTGAAGGAGGGTATAAAATGGTTGGATTCATATAACTTCAAAAGAATAAACTAATTAAATCAACTTGTAAAGGCATGATTATGAAATGTCTCTACAACTGCACAGTAAAAAATGTAAAGTTTTGCTTAAAATAAGGGATTTTTTTTCTTGAATTGAGCAGGTAAGTGAGACACTTTGCCAATAGAACAAAACGAATTATATTTAAATTAAGAAAAAGCTATTGCATTGCCTTATGAGCATAATATCTAATTATCTTACTTTAGGAGTAAATATACTCATTCCATTGGCAAATCGTCTTATTTTCCTACTGAAATTAAGGGCAAATACACTTAGTTTTAGAAATGTTTTACTAATTTCTAGATTGTTTTTGCGGTGTTATGGTTCCTTCTGCTTCTGCAAATCCCCCTGTCACTACCCGATCCGTCCCGGAAGCACGATCCGTTCTGTGCATGCGCTATCGGCTCATTTGCTCATGTACATCCATATATACGTACGTCCGTCTTCTATTTTATTTAGTTAAAAATACCTAAATGACGTTTTCCCTCCCCAAAAATGGTAAACGTACTAAAATATAATGTGTTAAAGGTTCATAATGTATTGCCTGAGCAAATAAATGCCTTAAAATCCTTTCAGTTTTATTAATGCTCGAGAAATAGGATCCTACACAACAAAAACGATCTAGAAATAAGTAAACATTTCTTAAATTAAGTGTATTAACCCTTAAATTGAGCAGGTAAATGACATAGTTTGCAGATGGAATGAGTAATTTTACTCTTGAAATAAGATAATTAGATAATATGCACTTAAAATAAGACAATGCAATTGCGTTTTCTTATTTTAAGTGTAAATTTTCTTGTTCCATTGGCAAAATCTCTCTTTTACCTCCTCAATTCAAGAAAAAATGCACTTATTTTAAGAAAAAATGACTTATCTAGATTTAGATTTTTTGCAGTGTACGCTACTTCCGGGAGCTAACTTTTTTGGCTTTGGATTTAAACATAAATCTAATCTTTTTGAGTTTTATGTTTTCATTTTGTTTTACCTTATGCTATATAGTGGGAAATCTCAAGAAAAAAGCAGCTAAAATGCAGATAAACATGGTTTAATCATATTTTGCCTGACTGCTCTGAGAAGCAGTTTAACGAAGAAAATGTAAAAAGCATAAAAATTGTCTCAAAGTTTTTAAAAGATGTGTATTAGCATTATTTAGTGAGTTAAGCACAGAAAAGTAGTTTTAGTACCATAATTACCAGAGGTGTCACGTAATGAAGTACAAATACTTTGTTACTGTACTTAAGTATACTTTACTGTATTACTTATTTTTCTTCCTACTTTTGACTTCT